GGGAAGGCCCCCCTGGACGTGCGGTTCGTGGGGACGGGGCCTGGCCCAGCGGTCGCTGACTTCGAGGTCATCGACAATCATGACTATTCCTACACGGTCAAGTACACCCCGCTGCAGCAGGTGCGTGCTGGGGCACCCTGACCCACGGGAACATCCATTCTGGGCACCCCAACCCACAGGCTCAACCCGTGAGGGGATCCCAAACATACAGGGGCTCCCCAGCCTGTGGGGTACCCAAGAGGGGCCCTCTCATTGACACCCCATTCCCTGGGCTCCCCCAAGGACACCCACCCATACAGCCGAGTGTATAGGGGCACCCCCATGAGCACCCCCTTCCCATAGGTACTCCCAGCTCCTGGCACCCCACCCCTATGAACATCCCCCCATCACCGTGGACACCCCACCTCTGTGGCACCCCCTTGGGGCAGCTTCAGCCCAACATGTGTATCTGTCTACCCAGGGTGCCCCCAGATCCACGGGTTCCCCCCCATCCCTGGGACTTCACCCACCCCAGCAGCCGTGGGTGACCCCCAAGCCCCCAGCCTTATGGCTGCGTGTCCCCTGGTAGCCCCTTTGAATCCCCCAGCGCTGTCCCGTGGGTGTCTGCCCTCTGCCCCATGACTGGGCTTTGTGTGGGGGTCCCCTGGCACCACCCTGAAGTCGAGTTGTTCCTGCAGGGCCCCCTGTCTGTGGTGGTCACCTATGGAGGGGACCCCATCCCCAAGAGCCCCTTCCCCGTCACTGTGGCTCCCCCCCTGCAGCTGGGCAAGGTCAAGGTGCAGGGGCTCAACAGCAGTGAGTGGCAGCACTGGGGCAATGCTGGGGGGACCCCGAGGGAGGGGAGCACCCTGCATGTGGTGTGGAGGGGGGGGCAGGCCCTGGCAGGGACACTCGAGCATTGGGAGCACCCTGGGGGAAGTGACCTGGGAGGGGACACCTGGGTGGGGGGATCAGCTTCCCTTGGGGGGACACTCTAAATGTGGGGGCGCTCCAGGGGAGGGCATTCTTGGGTGTGGGGTTCAGCATGGGGTGAGAACACCTGAGGGCATGGACACTGTGTGTGTAGGGGGATACACACCCTGGTTGTGGGGTGCAGCTCGGGGCCCTAAGGGTGGGTCGGGGGGCACCCTCGTAGGAGAGGTTTGGGACCGCTCGTGTAGGGGAGCAAGTGGGATATGAGGGACGGGCATGGGGGGGCAATGGGGGAACACACACCCTGTGGGGAAACAATACCCTGGGTATGGGGGACAGCCTTAGGTGGAGGTGACACACCCTGGGACAGACATCCTCCCCAGATTCACCATCAGTCTAGGGACACCTCAGGGTGAGAGGTGCCCCTCTGACCCCCCGCTCCCCTGCAGAGGCGGAAGTGGGGCAGGTGCAGGAGTTCCAGGTGGAGACACAGGGTGCAGGAGGCCAGGGGCAACTGGAGGTGAAGGTGACGGGCCCCTCGCGGCGCCCCGTGCCCTGCACAGTGGGGCCTGCGCCCCCCGGAGGCCCCCACCCTGTCACTTTCACACCCCCCGAGGAGGGGCCCCACCGTGTCGAGGTCACCTACGATGGGCACCCGGTTCCAGGCAGCCCCTTCCCTGTGGAAGCTCTGCTGCCCCCTGACCCCTCCAAGGTGAGCGTGGCACATGTGTGCAACAGGGGTGTGTGTGCCCAATCCCTGTGTGTCCCTCCTGCCCCCCATGTGCTGCTCGCAAACCCCACGTGTGCCTATGCCCCCATAACCTCTGCATGTCTCCCTGACCCCTACATGTCCCTGTCCTGACCTGCGAACAGGTGGTGGCCTTGGGGCTGGGGCTACAGGGCAGTCACATGGGAGTCTGCCGACGGCCACACATCCCCCTTGCCCACCCCGTGTCCCTATGTCCCCTGACCCCTAGCTGTCCCTGTGTCACTCTTGACCTCCACCTGTCCCTGTGTTCCCCCTGACCCCCATGTGTCACTGTGCCTGCAGGTGGTGGCGTCTGGGCCCGGGCTGAAGGGCGGCCGTGTCGGGGTCCCAGCGCCCTTCTCCATTGCCACGCAAGGCGCGGGCAGTGGGGGGCTGGGGCTGACAGTGGAGGGGCCCTGCGAGGCCAAGATTGAGTGCCAGGACAACGGGGATGGCTCCTGTGCCGTGTCCTACCTGCCCACGGCACCTGGAGAGTACCACATCAACATCCTCTTCGCTGGGCACCACATCCCGGGCAGCCCCTTCACGGCTGCGGTCACGGCGCCCTTCGACCCGGCCAAAGTGACGGCGTCGGGGCCGGGGCTGGAGCGCGGCCGTGCGGGGGAGGCGGCTGCCTTCTCCGTGGACTGCTCGCAGGCCGGAGAGGCCGAGCTCACCATCGAGATCCGCTCCGAGGCCGGCGTCAAGGCTGAGGTGCTGGTGCAGAACAATCGTGACGGCACCTATGCCATCACCTACACTCCAGCCTGTGCCGGCGCCTACACCATCACCATCAACTACGGCGGCCTCCCGGTCCCCAACTGCCCCGTGCGCGTCACTGTTGACCCAGCCGTCGACACCAGCAGTGTCAAGGTCTACGGCAAAGGCGTGGAGCCGCGAGGTGAGGGAGTGGCCATGCAGGGGCTGCTCACCAAGGCACCTCCTTCCCTTGGGTGGGGATCTCCTTCTCCCCGGGGGCATCCCATCCCTGTGGGCATCTCTTCCTCCTGGGTACCCCTGTGGACACCACCACAGGCGTCTCCTCTCTATGAGCGTCCCCATGGTCACCCCATCCCTGTGGGTACCCCCTCTCTATGGACATCCCCACTCACAGACATTCCAACCCCATGGGCATCCCCTCCCCATGGGCACCCCATGGACAGCCCTTCCCATGTGGAGAGTCTCTGGGTATCCTGTGGACATCCCTCCAGGGCACCTCCCATTTGCAGGGATGACCCCGAGGCCATGGACTCTCCCGTGCTAACCAACATCTCCTCCCCATGGGAATGCCCTCTGATGGGAGCTCTCCTGGGCACCCCAGTCATCTCTCTTCCCCCTGTCCCCCTTGCCCCCACCACTACTCAGGGGTCCCTGTGGTTTTCCTCTCATTCCTGGGGGGAAGTTCTGGGGGTGCAGGGGGTGTGGGGCGGGACCCCAAGGCTGTGCCAGTTCCCCCTTGAAGCCCCTGTGTGTGCCAAGGGGGCCATGGGCTCTCACAGGCTGCTCTGAGGGACTCCCAGGTGAGCTCTGGGTCCCTTTGACCCCCCTGTACCCCTCAGGGGTGCTGCGGGAGGTGGGCACTGAGTTCACGGTGGATGCGCGGGCGCTGGCCCCCACCGGGGGACCCCACATCCGTGCACGGGTGCTGAACCCCTCCGGGACCCCCATCGACACCTTCGTCACTGACCTTGGCGATGGCACCTACCGCGTGGAGTACACACCTTTCGAGGAGGGTGAGGGACCCCCACAACCCCCCTGGGAAATCCAACACCCCTGGGGACCCCTAGGCCCTCCTAGAGAACACAGACATACCTGGGGAATTCCCAAACCCCTAAGGACCCCCAGCCCCCAGCGAGCACCAACACACCCCAGGAACCTCCAGGGACCATGAGCTCTCCCAGGGACTCTGCTCCCCCACCGGACTCCAGCATTCCCCTGGGACCCCAAGTCCTGGCCAGGCATCCACCATCCCTCATGAGGGACCTTCTCATACCACATCCAAGTGGGGACCCCCTTCAATTCCCCCTGATTCTCCAGAACCAGAAACCCCTAAGCCCCCCTGAGACACCCCCAAATCCCAACCAGGGACTCCCAGCCTTGCCCTAAAACCCCACCCAGGGACCTCCAAAATTCCTTGAGAATCCCCACCCCACAGACCCCTTGTGCCCCCTCCTTGGGCAGTGTATGATGGTGTCCCTGTCACAGGGCTGCATCTGGTGGAGGTGACATATGATGACGTGGCAGTCCCCAAGAGCCCATTCCGTGTGGGGGTGGCCGAGGGCTGCGACCCCACACGCGTTCGGGCGCACGGCCCTGGCCTGGAGGGCGGCCTGGTGGGCACGGCCAACCACTTCACTGTGGAGACCAGGTGGGCACTGACCCCCTACCCCAATCCAACCCTGCCCCCCAAAGACCCCCAACGCCTCCAAATCCCCTGCCCTAGCCCTATTCCACACGCACCGACCCCTCATGCTGTCCATACTGGGGGCTTTGGGGTGGGCACGGCCCCCTGCTTCAGTGTGGAGAGCAGATGGACACAAACCCTGAGTCCCTCCATTCCCACACCCATTCCCACAGTGCCCACCATGGGGGGGGGGGGCACTGTGAGTCTGGGGGGGTTGTGATGAGCACCATGGATCAGAGATATCACTTCTATCCCAAGCCCCCAACCCACCATCTCCATCCCTGATCATAGAAGTGTCACCGTTATCCTCTTGCACCTGTGCCCTTTATGTGCATGTACCACCTCTATCCCACGTCACCAACCTGCCATCTCCATCCGGTGTCACCACTCTGGCATCTCCGTGTTCTGCCAGAGGTCCCACGTCCAACCTCTCGCATCCTCTACCACCCGAGTCCTTTCCCATGGATGTACCACCTCCATCCCATGTCACCAAACAGCATCTCCACCCCCTGCCATGAAAGTGCTGAACCCATCCCATGTCATGAGGATGGCATCTGTCCCCTTGCCATGGAGGTGCCACCTCTGCCAGGGAGGTGGCAGCTCCCTCCCCCTGCCATGGAGGTGGCACCTCTGTCTCCCCACTATGGCTGTTGTTCCCCCTGGCCCCCCCCATGCCTGTGTCACTTCTCTGAGTGGTGGCATATCTCCAGGGGTGCAGGCACTGGGGGATTGGGCCTGGCCATTGAGGGTCCCTCGGAGGCAAAGATGTCCTGCAAGGACAACAAGGATGGCAGTTGCGCAGTGGAGTATGTCCCCTTCACGCCTGGTGACTACGACGTCAACATCACCTTCGGCGGCCACCCCATCCCTGGTGCGGGGGGACACGGGGACGGGGTGCGGGGAGGTGTCCTGATTGTTATCACAGGGCTTCCTTGCGGTGACGCCACCCATGGTGGCCCCACAGCCAAGCTGTCCCCTGCCTGTGCTGTCCCCATGGCCATGGCTTTGGTACCCCCATGGCCACACTGACCCCGTGGTCACACTGACCCATGGCCACGTTGACCCCATGTGGAGCCTTTGCCCAAACTATTCCATGACCATGCTGCCCTTGTTCCAATGCTGACTGTATGGACATGTTGACCCCATGACAATGGTGACCCCACATTGTGCTCATGCCCATATTGAGCCCTTCCCCACACTGACCCTTTGGCCATGCAGTCATGCTGTCCTCATGGCTCACATTGACCCCATGACCATGTTGACCTCATGATCGTGTTGTCCCCATGCCCATGCTGATCCTATGGATATGTTGACCCCATATGAGCACACTGGCCCCACAAAGTGCCCATGCACATGGTGGACATGCCAACTCTATGGCCATGCTATCCCTGTGCCCCTGCTGACCTCATGACCATGTTGACCTTGTCCTCATGCTGACCCCATCCCCACAGTGACCCCATTCCCATGATGACCCCATGCTCACACTGGCAGTGGCCACACTGCGCCCATCCCTGCCCTACCCCGCCCCATCACGCACTGACCCCTTCTCCACACAGGGAGCCCATTCCGGGTGCGAGTGCGGGATGCTGTGGATGCCTCAAAGGTGACGTGCTCAGGGCCAGGGCTGGGTCCCAGCGTCCGAGCGCGGTTGCCCCAGAGCTTCACCGTGGACGTGAGTGCCGCAGGACATGCAGCCCTTGAGGTGACGCTGCTGGGGCCCACTGGTAAGTGGGGACACAGTGGGCAGCAGGGGCCTGTGTCTTGTGGTGTGTCCTGACCTCTGGGGTGTCCTGCCTTATAAATGTCCTATTTCATAATGGGATGTCCTGCCCCTTGGATCCCATGGTCTGTAGAGAGTCCTGCCCCCTGGGATGTCCTGCCTCGTGGCTTGTCCAGCACCATGGATGCCCTGTTCCATAGAGTGTCCTTCCCTGTTATATAGGGTGTCCTACCTATGGATGTCCTGCTCCATAGGGTGTCCTACCCCACAGGACGTCCAGCCCCATGGATGCCCTTCTTCATAGGGTGTCCAGCTTCATGGAGTGCCCTCCCCATGGGTACTCAGATCCACAGGGTGTCCTTCTCCATGGAATTCCCTGCCCAGGGAGGTTGTGCCCTACATGCTGCTCTATACCCTCCATGTCCTCCTGTCCCACATGCCCCCCTGCCTGACATGTCCCCACCCCACATGTCTCACTGCCCCACAGGGCTGCCGGAGCCAGTGGAGATCCGAGACAATGGTGATGGCACCCACAAGGTCACCTACACCCCAGCCAGTGACGGGCCCTACACCGTGTCTGTCAAGTACGGGGGGCAGGAGGTGCCACGCAGGTGAGACCCCTACCTCGGGTGGGTAGAGGGGGGACACAGGATCCTCACACAGCCTGGAGATCACGGCACTCTCCTGACTCCCTGCTTCCTCCAGCCCCTTCAAAGTGACGGCGCTGCCCACCCACGATGCCAGCAAGGTGCGGGCAAGTGGCCCCGGGCTGAGTGCAGGAGGGATCCCTGCCAGCCTCCCCGTCGAATTCACCATTGACGCTCGTGATGCTGGCGAGGGATTGCTCACGGTGCAGATTCTGGTCAGTGCGTGAGGGGGAAACATGGGGTAGTGTGAGGGTTGTGGGGGGACACACTGAGGATGGGTGAAGGGCTGCTCACACTCCAGATCCTGGTTAGTGCAGGGGGGAGTCATGGGGTGCTGAGCCCCACAGGGTGTCTTTTCCCCCACATCCTGGGGTGCTGAGCCCCACAGGGTGCCCCCAGCACAGGGTACTGATGGGGGTTGCCTGCAGGACCCCGAGGGGCAGCCCAAGAAGGCGTCAATCCGGGACAATGGGGACGGCACCTACACAGTGTCCTACGTGCCCGATGTGCCCGGGCGCTACACCAGCACTGTCAAGTATGGGGGCGACGAGATCCCTGCATCGCCCTTCCGTGTCCTCGCCGTGCCCTCTGGCGATGCCAGCAAGTGCCTCGTCACAGGTGGGGCTGCCCCCCAGTGTCCTTATGCTGACCTATGTCATTCCCTTGCTGGCCCATGGCATCCCCTTGCTGACCCACAGCACCCCCTCACTGCCCCACCCCACTCCTCCCTGCCCCACAGTGATCCTCCTGCCCCATGGCATCCCCTCCTACCCCACAACATCCATATGCTAAGCCACAGTGTCCCTTTGCTGTCCCACAGCACCCACCCCAGAC